GACCAGTATTCAATTAAAGTTTGCTTCAAATTTGGCTTTAAATTGTGGTCCTGGTCTCATTCTCTATCAATGGGATTGATAGCAGCTTGCAAGAGTCCATTCTTTCCTTCAATCGTGTGAGTCCCAGAGTTTGAACTCAGGTTGTCAGGCTTGGTGGAAGTGCTTTCTCTGCTGAACCATCTTGCTGGCTCCATAACTGGTTTTCATAGTTAACAAAATGATCCCTTAAATCTCAGATACTTAATTCAGCCCGTTAGTTGCACTGAATGGCCAGACTCAGGAGGTTCCCAATATTTTATTTTTAGGCTTAAACTGACTATGTAACCAAGGTCATTCTGTTTTTAAAATTTTTTATTTTACATGTGTGGTTGTTTTGCTTGCATGTATATAAACCACATGCATGCAGTACCCTTGGAGGCTAGAAGAAGGCATTAGATCCTCCTGTGACTGGCATTATAGATGGTTGTTAATCATCACATGGATACTGGGAATTGAACCCAGGTCCTCTGCAAGAACAAGAAACACTCTTAACCCCTGATCCATCTCACAAAGATCTACTCTGTGGTGATCTGAATGAAAATGCCCCCCATAGGCGCATAGAGAGTGATACTATTTTAATGTATTAGGAGGTATGGCCTTGTTGGAGAAGGTGTGTCACTGGAGGTGGGTTTTGAGGTTTCAGAAGCTCAAGTCAGACTCAGTCTCTCTCTCTCTCTCTCTCTCTCTCTCTCTCTCTCTCTCTCTGTGTGTGTGTGTGTGTCTCTCTCTCTGTCTCTCTCTCTGTCTCTCTGTCTCTCTCTCTTCCTGCTGCTTGCAGATTCAGATGTAGAGTCTCAGCCATTTTTCCAACACCATGTCTGCCTGCATGTTTCCATGATCCCTGCCATGACAAGGGACTAAACCTCTGAAACTGTAATTCAGCCCCAATTAAATATTTTCCTGTATAAGAACTGCTGTGGTCATATTGCAATAGAACAGCAACTAAAACATAATCCTTCTGCCTCCACCTCCCCAGTGCTAGGATTACAAAGGTGTAACGCCACACCTGATTTATGTGGTAGTGGGCATTGAAGCCAAGGCTTTGTACATGCCAGGCGAGCACTGTACTTACTGAGCTACGTCCCCTGACCTCCTCCTCTATCTTTTTTCTTTCTTTTTTTTCTCACATGCTGGGAACAGAACAAGAACATTGCTGCAAAGTACTGACCTGTTCCAAACTGTGGCTAGTTTGTTATCTATCAGCCTGACCACAAACTTCAACATATCTGGGAAGAGGGGATCTCATCTGAGGAATTACTTTTCTCAGACTGACCCATGGGCAGGTCTGTGGGGAATTTTCTTGCTTGCACATTGATGTAGGAGGACCTATCCCACTTTGGGCAGTGCCATCCTTGGGCAGAAGGGTCTGAGCTGTCCGAGAAAGGTAGCTGAGGGGCTGGAGAGGTGGCTCAGTAGTTAAGAGCACTGGCTGCTCTTCCAGAGGACCCAGTTCAGTTTGTAGCACCCACATGTGGCAGCTCACAACCTCTTTTGGACTCCAAGGGAATTGTACTCACACATGCATGTTTCTACACACAGATACACACACAATTAATAATAGAATGAAGTGTGTGTGTGTGTGTGTGTGTGTGTGTGTGTGTGTGTGTGTGTGTGTTGGGGTGGTAGACAGGAGAGAGAGGAGAGAGAAGGGGGAAGAGAAAAGGGGAGACAGAAGGGAGAGAGAGTTAAACCTTGGTCTCTGGTCCTGGGCCTCTCTCAATGATGATCTATGATATATTAGCTGAAATAAACCCTCTCTGCAAGTTGCTTTTGGTCAGTTTGCTGGATGTATTTTTTTTTTCTTTTGGTCAATTTGACCCAAGCTGCAGTCATCTGAGAGGAAGAAACCTCAACTGAGAAAATTCCTCCGTAAGATAGAATTGCAGGTAGACTACCTGTAAGACATTTTCTTAATTAGTGATTGATGGGGGAGGGCCCAGTCCACTGTGGGTTGGGGACATCCCTGGGCTGATGGTCCTGGGTTCTATAAGAAAGCAGGCTAAGCAAGCCATGAGGAGCAACCCAGTAAGCAGCACTGTTCCATGGCTTCTGCATCAGCTCCTGCCTCCAGGATCCTGTCCTGTTTGAGTTCCTGTCCTGACTTCCTTCAGTGATGAACAGTGGTGTGGAAGTGTGAGCTGAATAAATCCTTTTCCTCCTCAGTTTGCTTTTTGGTCATGGTGTCTCATTGCAGGAATAGAAACCCGACTAAGGCAGTTGGTATGCTATTTCTCACAGCAACAGCTACAACACCTCCTTTCCCAGGAAGAGGAGAGCAGGTAAGCCCTGGGATCGGAATGAGGCAGTCGATTAAATTATTGCACATGGTGGAAGAGAGAATTCTTGTGTAGACAAGTTAGGCAGAAAAAGTCAATCCATAACTCTGAAAACAGGGCTTGCTGGGTCCACCACACACCCCGGTGTAGATGAATACCCAGGCTGTCCAGGCAACGCCATCAAAGCCTCCAGCTGACCCTGACAGTTTCATGGACGGCTATTTCAGCTAGGCTGTGTCCTGAACTTTGAGACTAAGGTGCAGTTGGAGGCCAGAGGTGGAGATATCGCAAGGAATGCAATGAGTGTAATGGCTGTTGAGGAACTCTTCGAGAAATATGAGGGTGTTCACAAGTCTAAGGTTAGCCTCCGCAGGAAGATGCTTGTGATGAAAAGCTGTGCTGAGGAACTCGGGACGGGGTGTGTCACAAGCACCTAGACACTGAGCATTATAGGTCTGCAAATATTTAACAGCCCCGTATAGTTCAGCCCCAGGAGGCAGTCTCCGCCCAAGAATGCAGGCCAAAAGCCAGCCAGCAGCAGTGTGTGGGAAGTTTGTGTGTTTTGAATACAGAATTAAAAGACAGGATGGGGGTGTAATGGTGAAGTTGGATCTACAAAAGGAAACATGTTTTAGTTAATTGAACTGATATTACACAACTCATAGAACTTGAGTGTAAGCCTTGCGCCTGCTCCCTTCAGAGGTCAGACTGTGACAGCTTCTTTCTTCTTTTAAATTGTACCTACTTATTTATTTATTTGTTTAGTGTGTGTGTGTGTCTCGAGGTCAGAGGACAACTGTTAGCTGATCTTCTTCTGCTTTGCGGGGGGGGGGGGGTTTAAACTCCAGTCATCAGACTTGACAGCAAGTACCCTGACTCACTCAGCCAGTCAGTCAGCCCAAGATTGACATTTCTTCAGGATTAACTGGAAGACAGAGTAAGGGATGTGTTTCTGCATGAATCCCAAAGAGATTAGTGAACCAGGGACAGTGAATCATTTCTGTCCCCATACTCACCAACCCCAGATGACCCTCTTGTAAACAACCGGAACTGCCAGAGATAGCGAAGCCATGGCAGGACCGTTGTGGCTTTCCTTAAGAAGTGACCCAGTGTGCCCTGGTGGTGGCGCATGCCTTTAATCCCACACTCGGGAGGCAGAGGTAAGTGGATCTCTGTGAGTTTGAGGCCAGCCTGGGTTACAGAGGGAGTTCCAGGACAGGCTCCAAAGCTACTGAGAAACCCTGTCTCTGTGACCCAGGCTGTGGGGCTGGAGAGGCCGCTCATTGGTTAAGAGTGTTTGCTGCTCAAACATGGGAACCCAGGTTCAGATCCTAGCAGCCATGCCTCTAACTCCAGTTCTGAGGGGGTCTGATGCCCTCCTGAAGACACACAAACACACATAAATAAAATAAATCCTTAAAGAAAATGAATGGCTCAACCAGGGTTGTGTCCCCAGACCTATATAAATGGTGTGTGCTAGTACACACCTGAATCCCAGA